TTTTTTTTTTTTTTTAAATATACTGTGGCTATGTACTGACTATCTTTTTTGTTGTTTTGTGCAGCTGCACATTTACCGATCACATTAGCCAGCTGAATGTGAAAGAGGATGGCTCAAGGACAAAAGATAATTTTCTAATTATATGTGAGAGATTGGCGTTGAAAATGCTCAGCAATGCAAATTTTTTTCTCGTATCCGTGGAGATGCCTGTTTCTGCTAACGTCAATGACGTATCTGGTTTATGCTTGCGGTTCAGTGCTGAGATCTTGAGTAACTCTATTCCTTGTCTTGTCACACTTACTCTTAAAGGTACTTGCAATCAACCACTTGAGTTGTCGGTAAAAATGAACTGTGAAGAAACTGTATTTGGCTTAAATCTGTTAAATAGGATTGTGGTATTCTTAGCTGAACCAATCCCTTGATGATACAATTTTGTGAAAAAACTGAAGGGTTGTATTTTGTAACTCTCAATTTTTTTATTTTATTTTATTTTATTTTTTTTTTTTGTTACAGCTATTTTGTTTTGGTTAACGTTTGTTACAGTTGAGCAAAATTACATATCTTCACATTTCTTGTGATCTTAGAGTGATCTCTGCAGAAAAAAATGTTGGAGAGATGAAGGATAATATTCACTTCCACAAATTTTGGTAGTCTGTAGTGTAGAGAGTGATCAATAATTGTGAGTATGAAACACCAAAAAAGTTTAAGTTGAAAGCAATTTTGTAATAATGCCACGATGCCTTGCAATGCTATATGGAGCAGAATGTTAGGCGACTAAATATGAACACCAATGGAAACTGTGGGTGGCAAAAATGAAATGTATGAGAGGAGACACTAAGATAAAAGGAAGAAATAAATATATTAGGAAAAGAATATGTTGACACCAGTAGATGAGAAAAATATTGGATCAAACTTGTCATTATTTTGGACATCTACATAGCAGATTGTTAACTGCTTTGCGATATACTGAAAGTGGAAAATCCCCCACTCTCCTTGAGAAAAGGGAAGACCTAAAAAAACTGAGAGGAACAGTTACTTTTCATATCTAGAAATAAGTGATAATAACTTCATTTGATAAAATATGGTTTGGTATTGTATAGAACACCCCATGTAGGGGG